GCCGGCCACTTGGTTATGGCGTTCCATGTACGCCCTGCCTGCTAGCATCTTGCACCCTGCTGTTATGTGCTGGATTGTCTCATCTTTACACAGCCTGCACCTGTGCTTTCTGGTTCCTGTGATTAGTGATAATCTGGGAGACTAAGACTGAGGTTTGTGCTGGAAAGGATGGACGTCTTAAAAAGATTAGGCCCAGCATTGTTCCCACTGTTATTCTGGTTTTAAACACATAAAAACTGATTTTTGTTCTATACGAATAATTTTCAAAATAAAAGTCATGAACCAATCTTTTACTGCAGGAAGCATATGGCAGAGCTGAGGACTAGACTAGTGATTGAAAACATCACTGGGTGGAACTGGGCATGTTTTTCACATAGTGTCCACTTCACTGTTCCTGCTTATTGCACAAGTGTTAAAGAAAGCTTCTGTTTCTTCACTGTACAGAAAAACGTGCTGAATTGTATTTGGTTCAGGAAGGCCACGCACAGCCAACAGCAACCTGATATCTGAGTCTCCTTTGGCACAAACCAATCAGCAGGTGTCGCAATTTTATAAGGAATGTTCTGTGGTCAGCCGTCAATTTATATTGATGGGTAATCTTAATATCAATATAAATCCCATACAGTTTATTCTGGTTCATGACTGACCTCTAACAATGTAACAGTGACAGAGAGGATACGGCCAGGGCGGCGTTTTTCAGATCCAGAGGGAAACGGCTCGCAGAAGGAAACGATAATTAATAAGACTCCCATTAATAGTTCATCACAGTTCTTTTCCTATTTGGCCTGTTTCTTTCAAAAACTGTATTCCTCATCTAACATTTCTTTGAGAAATTCCAAAACAATATCAGGAATTCAAAGAAACGCGACGGTGCCTTCAGCCTGCCTGAGGGGACTTGGGTAAAAGATGACAAATGAGCAGGCAATGATGATTAGAAGGAGAGTGTAGATGTAGAAAGACGTCATTTTACAGCTCTGTTTCTGCCTGCTGTGTTTCAGGGATTAAGCGATAATGGGGAACAAGGATCAATTACATCTGGATCACTGGAGGCCAATTCATTTATTAAACAATGATGCAAAAAGTTTTTTCTCTCATCTTTGCAAAGACAATAAAAACTGGTGCGTGTTTCAAAACAACAACAACAACACTGCATCAGAAGCACTGTGTCGAGGCGTGACAGACTCACAATGAAGCGGTACACGTTGTAGAGCTGCTCTTCATACTGTTGGCCACCAGAGGTCACCAGAGAGGACTGTTGACAAGCTTCAGAAAGCTTTGTTTGGCCATCACCGCTGAAAAGGTCTACACAAAGTACCCGACGAGGATCTTCAGGTCTTCTTTCTTTAAGGTTTAAATTTGACTTTTGTGACTGGAAAGTGAAGGCGCCAAAAGTATTCACTCACCCGTCCAAATCAGCGAATTCAGGTGTCACTTCCTGTGCAGCCTGCTTCTGCAAACATTTGTGGAAGAGCACGTTGCTCTCAGGAGCTCGTTTTACGGTGATGGGATGCACCTTCTGCAATAAGGTGAGTTTTGACATTCCCTCGTTACTAAAGACTCCACAGTGAGCTGTGAGTGGAGGCGAACAACAAAGTGGGAGCGATGGGGAAGGACAGCACCTCAGCCACCAAGCGGTGGGCAACGTAAAACAGATGCTGAAGTACTTAGTGGCTAACTTTCAGTACAGACCTCCAAACTTCATGCGGCCTTCAGATAAACTGGTGCTTCATCCCAGCCTTACATCACCGAGCCCAATGCAAAGCATCAGATGTAGTGGTGTAAAGCACGCCGCCACTAGACTCCAGAGCAGTGAAGGCGTGTTCTGCCTCTGGGAATCTGATGAATCATCTGTTGTGACTACATCAACCTCACACACTCACTTGGGCTCTTTCAGACATCTGAGTTTCTGCGCCCCCATGGCCTCAGCACCAGTGCATCGGCTGCTTCTGCCCTCAACGTCCCCTCTGACGCTTGGAGAGCCCACAGGAAGCTGGGCCCATGTTGTTTGTTCAGGCTGCACCAGGTCATCAGGCGCCCTCCCTGGACTCAGTGGTGGAGCTCGGTGATAGGATAGTGCCATCTAAATTGCTCTTTGGATCAGGTGGTGGTCAGATGATCAGATCATCGTCCCATACCATGAAAATGTAAATAATATAAAAGCATTCATGAGCTCCGTTTATTA